ACATAAGATTGAGCCTCGGGCCCCCCCAGCACTTTCCTTACATGGCTCAGACAGGCTGAGAACGCCGGAGCCCGAAGGAATATTCTTAATAGTGTTATTTTAGGCCCCTGTATCAACGGGTGAGGTAATATCATCAAAGTTGACTTGCTGCATTTTTTGAGTCGCATGCTTGTACATACTTCATGGCCTTCCATCAATCTCTCAGGTTCTCTTGGGAGCTCACTCGGCTCGCTAGAAACCCTAAACCCTAAATCATAATATTACAGGTTTCCTTGAAGGCTTCTATCGGCTCGGAGGTAGGTGGGGGGGGGGGCGGTGGCAGGCACATTTGCTCGGGGTTTAGGGTTTAAGGTTTAGGGTTCAGGGTTTAGGGCGTTTAGGGTTTAGGGTTGGGGGCTAGGTAGGGTTTGGGGTTGCCACTAAGAAGCGCTAGCGAGATCCGACATCTTGGCAAGAAGGAACGATGACGCAAAAAACTGTTATCAGCACCTCCAGCACCCCCAGACCTGAACCTTACGTAAGGGATCATGGGACTCAGTACGTATGGCCAGAAGTATCTTTAATGGGGTTAGCAGATAGAGGTCGAGTACAACTTTCCTTGCTATAGTAATAGTGCCATGATCCCTTAACTCGACATATGAGGTTATCAGCTACTTCAGCATCGACCAGCTGGCTGTTTTTAGCTGGGAGCAGGTGAGCCGATCTCTCTCTGCGAAACCCTAAACCCGAAACCCCTAACCACAGGGGCCCTGAAAGGGGGTAAGGGGGAGGGGGGTAGGGGACTATACTTCCTTAAATAGGCCTTATTAAGTCCTTATTATTGATATTAAGACACCCCACCCCCCTCCCCCCTACCCCCCGAAGGGAGGGTCCCTATAACTAAACCCAGTTTGGCAGACTTGATTTTGCGGCGTCGGGTCCATGGTGCCTTGCTTCACAGCTGCATAGTCTAGAGGCTTGACTCCACTGAAGCTAAGAATTAGGGTTTAGGGTTATCAGGGTTTGTGGGCTTCATCGATTTTATTCGGAGTTTTTTTATTCCGGACCCAACTCTACTTGGCTTGAGGTATTGTCGTTTTGCTCTGTTCGTAAGCGGGATCCCCAACATCTCCTGCCAAGATGCGAGTATGCAAGTTCTCAATTTAGCAGTGCCGGCTTTGCTTATAGGGTATCTTGTCGGTAAAGACTCAGGTGCATGTGTGCGTGTGCATGTGTGTATGTATATGCATATTTGCATATACACATAAAAAGTGTGTATGTACACACATACTAAGTATCTGGGTGCATAGCAAGAATGCGCATACTCTCTCTCTCTCTCTGCTTCTCTCTCTTTCCGTTTAGCTCATGCTCTAAGCCTTTGCATGCGCACCTGTTTGTATGCCGAATGGCCTAATCCCTGAACCTAAAGCCTTAACCCTCAACCCAAAACCCTGAACCCTAATGTATCTATGCACGCGCAGCGTTACCACAATACTCAGAGAGCCGACGACCACCTCGTCTGGTCATCAGTCCTCATTACAAGAAGCCCTGGATGAATGAAGGGAATCAGCTCACTTCTGAGATCCACCCTAAACCCGAAACCCTCACACCCTAAACCCGAAACCCTAAGCCGTGTAGGTACTGGTTTTCAGGCTCATGAGCTCCATGGTTGGGGTTGTTGGCCTGCGGGGCCTGGGTTTGACGGTTCAGAGTTTAGGGTATGGCGGGTTTAGGATTTAGGGTTTGCGCAGGGCCTGGGTTCAACCGGCATGTCGTGCGAACCGGGGTTTATGCCAGGGATATGGAGAGTACATATAGGGCTCCGCGGAGGCATTGGCCAGTGCCCAGACCTTCCAAATTCCTTAAAAATTGAGGAATAATATCTTAAAACATATTAGGGATCCTACTATAGTTTAAGGTATATTCCTTAAGGGATTTTGGAAGGTCTGGGTTTATGCTTTGGGTTTCACCGGCTTGCTGAGGAGATAACTTCATGTGTCGTTGTGAGATTAAGGAATACTAAACGGATCATGAGACTTGGTAGCTGGGGTTCTAAGTAAGGCAGCTATGCTTATGATTACTTATAACCCTAATTTAGGTACTTATAACCTGACTTACTAAGTCCCATGACCCTCCAAGTAGACCCTAAACCCTAAACCCCATAGACCCCTTTAAGGAACCCCTATAGATCCCTTTAAGGAGCCCTTTAAGAACCCTTATAGTTTCGGATTTAGGGGCTGCTGTGTGTGCTGCTGCCATTCCGCGGCCCAGGAGCAAGCCGAGTTGGAGCACAAGCTTCTTGTTCTGCACCCTACATCCGAAACTAAACCCTAAACCCCTAAATCCTATACCCTAAACCCTAAATCCTATACCTCAAACCCTAAATCCTATACCCTAAAACCTAAGCAAAACCTAAAACTTCTTCGCAGCGTCGGAGTTTGGGGGAGCCCTCTTCCTTGGCGCAGTCTCCATGTTATATACTAAAATGAGAAGCGAATACCAGGCCCTAGTAAATGGAATATGGTTCCTTTAAAGGCCTACCATAAGGGTTCAAGGGTTTGGGTTTTAGTTCAGTGGCCAAAAGAGCTTCGACAACTAGAATAGGGCTTAGGCTAGTATCATAATACAGTATAAGCCCAAAAGTTGGATACCCAATAGCCTCAATCCTTAAGAGGAATGTGTAAGGGAATTCGAGCGCTACTTGTCCCTTTTGGAATTTTGGGGTCTACTATATACGCATGATTAAAAATGGCAGTTATCCAGGCTTCTGTACTACGGTGCTTGAACCACACACACACACACCCATTGCCTCCCCAAAAAGGTTTAGGGATCAGGGCTTAGGGTTACGGGTCAGATTTCTGGTTAAGGATTTCCGGGCAGGATCTTTCATACCAAATGTAATGGAAAGGTAGCATACTCAGTAGACTTTGACATTGGTTTAGTTCTTCAATTAGATTTTATTCAACATGCTTGCTCACAGCCGTCGTCTGTCCAGTAGGTATTTTACAACAGGTAGGCAACTACTGCAACTTAAGTACCTTGTGCCTTGTTATGCATGTTTGCGTGCCATGAATGACAAGACTAAGAGAAGAACACGCCGGCCACTCACGTACACATGTATATGTATGTGTATATGTATGTGGATATGTATGTGTATATGTATGTGTATGTGTGTGTATAGGTATGTGTATAGGTATGTGTATATGGATGTGTATATGTATGTGCCTATGTATGGGTATATGTATGTGTTTATGTGTGTACTTATATATATATATATATATATATATATGTATGTATGTATGTATGTATGTATGTATGTATGTGTGTATGTGATATGTGGTATGTGCTATGTGATATGTGATATGGATATGCTTATAGATATGCACATGTCTAAGTATATGTATTGTGTGTAAGTATGTATGTATATATATATATATATATACACATATGTTTATGCATTAATACAGTTTTAATTTGGAAGTACTTCTTAGGATTCAAACATCTACGACGAACCCTTGGCCATTCTCGGAGGTTAGCACTATTTCTGAGATGTGGACTAGGAAATCCAGATTGACGAAGGAGCTATGATAGAGGTGCAGGGGGTAGTGTAAAAATGTAGAAGCTTGAACAATGGCTACTGTTACGCAGTGGCAATAATTGACCCCCAAACCCCAGTCTAATTACAAGGACCCCAGTCTAATTATAAGGGCCCCTTAACCAAAAACCTAAACGCTGGAACCCTTACAGTAGCCCTTTGGAGGAAACCTATTCAAATTATTAGCGCCGCTTCTTTGGAATTGGCAGCGGTTCTCCTAACTGGCTGAGGGGTTTCGGGTTTGAGGATTGGTCTCGGGGTTGAGGAGAGGTTTGGGGGTTTTAGGCGGTTTTAGAGGAGGGTTTACTAGGGTCTAGGGGTGTGGGCCAGCACTTATATTTCAACTTAAATCCGAACGGTTTGGGGATTGGAGCGGAGGGAGTTTAAACATAGCTACCGGCCATGCACGGGTTTCAACAGACAGGGATCTACACAGTTAGCAGTAGACTAACTACCCCAAGTCCCAACAGCAAAACACTATGGTAACATACCCCACGCCCCCACCTTAGGTGTTTAGGATTGAGGATCTACGGTTTTGGGTTTGGCATGTGGCGGGTTTTGAGAAAACTCCGGCAAGCGTGTTTGCATTGGCAGTGACACTGACAACGACTACAAGAGCAAGGATTTGTCAGCCCTAAGCCCTAATTTCCTGTGGCCTTTCTGGGCTTGTCTTTTTCTTCCTGGCCCTATCTAGAGGGTTGGTGCGTTTTGAATACCTACACCCTAACACCCTAAACCCTAAACCCTAAACCCCAAGATTTGCCTCGACCTCAGAAGAGCCCGAAAGTCACCCTTAAACGAACCCCCCAATAGAAACGCACAAGAACACCCTTAAAGCAACCCAAAACCCTAAGTCCTACACCCTAAGCCCGTCTATATACCCTTAAAAGAGCCCTCAAAGGAGCCCCCTGGCAGAACCCTTGAAGGAGCCCTTAGATCAACCCTGATGGGACTCTCAAAGGAGCCCTGCCCTCAAACCCTGAACCCCAATCCCTAAACCCCAAACCCTAATCCAAAAAAAACCGTAAACCCTTATAGGAACCCTGATATGCTTGAACGGCACCGCAAGGAGCCTTCAAAGGAGCCCTCACAGGACACCCTAAACCCTAAACCCTAAGCCACTAAACCCCTAAACCGAAACCCACCTCTGAAACAACTCGTCTTCCCTGGCTCTGCAGATTTTCGGAGCTTATGCAAGGCTCCTTGAGTAGAACACCGTGCGCTTTTAAGAATCCGCTCGGGGCTTCTTGGGTTGTTTAGGGTTTAGGGCTTTTGGAGCTTTTAGGGCTTTGGTGGTTTCGGGATTGGTTGAGGATCCTTGTAAGGGCAAGGGTTGAGGGTGTCTTTTTTTGTATGACATCTGCCCTAGAACAATACAGGTGTTAAGGATGATAAGGGGGTTTAAAGCCAGGGCTTTACGCCTCACATGGCCTCGGAGCCCGCGAGTAGTTCGAGCGGCCAGCGCCAGCGCCGACCACAGGCGTGGCTGGTGTGGTGTTTCGAGCATTGCAGGAAGGTGGAGAACCAGACTCTTGGCTTGCACGAGCTGCGCCATTCGATATTCTTTGGGGGGTCTTTATGAGTTTAGGCTGGAAGTTGGAGGTTCCAGACTTGATCGGCGAACGCCTTTACCCAGAGAGACCAAGACCCCTAGTTTCGGAATATACCTTAAACTATAAGGTGGTTCGTATTATGACTTAAGCTTTAAGCTATATTCCTTAATTACCGGGTATTGGCTCTCTGGGTGCCCCTCCCCCAAACCCTAAACCCTAAACTCAAGGCCTAGGCCGCCCACCTCCGTCGGTGGGCGGGCGCTGAAGCCCCTCGACATCGATGGTGCAGGGCGACCCAATAGGCTCGCCCGCCTCTTCACATGAAAACCTGGTTCAAGACCTCAGAAAGGGACCCTTCAGGACGGCCCTGACGCCTCCAGCGAGCAGAATTCAAGGACCTGAGGGCCTCCTTGCTGATCCTCGAAGGAGGACCTGGACAAACCTGCACCCTGCCTGCCCTGCCTGCTAGACACGAAGCGCAATGGCATAAGTTTAAGCCTAAACCCTAAAAGGAATAGCTTTGGGTGGCTTAGCCGCCTCATACGGCGTGGGGTGGGAAGGAAACAAAAGAAAAAGCCTGCTGCATACAGGCTTTCACAGCTCATCGCCGCAGTACGACGCACTCGACACAACCTTGTCGCAAGACAAGATCGTCTACATGCTATTCCACGGCAAACCCTATCAACCCTCCCCCTCCCCCCCTCTCCCCCCCTACACTTTGAAGGGTCTCTATGATGAATTAAAGGAACCTTTCCAAGCCCTCTCCCTCTGGAGGGAAGAAGTTTTGCGAGCTCCGTTTGGACCTCCCGGTCTCAAGAGGATCTTACGTACGAATATTGTTCAGGGGCTGTTTGGGGATTAGGGGTTTAGGACTTTGGGATTTGGGGTTTAGGTTTAGGGGATTTAGGGTCTAGGGTTTAGGGGTTTAGGACTTTAGGATTTAGGGTTTAGGGTTGAGTGAATGGCACACGATTGGGATTCAGTAGTAATTTTTTTGCTAAACCCTAAACCCAAACCCCTCGAATTATAGCTACCTCATTTACAACCCTGCCCGCTAAGTCCCGTGATCCTCGAAGTAGCGCTTTATACCCAACCTGCGATTAAGGGCTTCGGGTTTAGGGGTCCATCTGAGGCCCCAAACCCCACAAAATAGTAGGTTATAACCCCTTAATTAGAGGGTAGAACCCTTAAAACGGTAGGGTTTCGGATCCCCAGGCAATGACTACTTACTGCTGTCCTCGTCAGGTACGGCCCCCACTCAGTAATAGTTGAATAATACTCATAGTATAGATATAGTAGGACCTTAATAGTAGCGCTATTATAGACTCTTACTGTATGGGGGCCGTACCTAACCTAAAACCCTAAACCCCTAAACCCTAAACCTCGAAACCCCTAAACCCTAAACCCTAAACCTTAAACCCTAAAGCCTAAACCGTGGGCCGTACCTAATGTCCTCGTCAACTCGCCAACTCCCAATCCCGAAGCCACGGCCCCTAAGCTCCAAGCGCGGCCTGAAGCCCTGAACCCCTGAGCCCTCAAAAAGAAAAACGAAAAAAAGATAAAAAAACAAAACAACAACTAAATCCCTACACCCCGGTAGAAGAAGCACGATGTTCTCTGGTTTACAGAGTAATACCTAAGCCGTACATCGTGAACCTTTCAAACGCCAAGCCCTGTAAACATAGGGTTTTGGATGTTTTCAATCAAAGGGGAAAAGGAGGGACCCTTAATGGGGACCCCTACCCTATAATGGGCTATATAATGGGTATATAATAGCTAAATTAAGGATATATACCTAGGGGTCCTTAGTAAGGGTCCCTCCTTTTACCCTTGGATTCAAGGAACATGCATGGCGAGCTGGGGCAGATTGCCAGTCAGTGCGGCATGCAACTGGTCCTCCACAAGAAGTTCTCAGGATTCTGGGCATTTACTTGGAGGATCATGGGACTTAGTCAGGTTATAAGTACCTTAATTGGGGATATAAGTAATTGTAAGCATCGCTACCTTAGTTATAACCCCAGTTACTCGGTCCCATGATCCTTTAAGTTTAGGGGGAATCGGGGCTTTCGGATTACGGGGTTAAGGGTTTGCGGGATTTGGGGTCTAGGGGTGTAGGGTTGGGGGCTTCAGGGTTAAGGATGTAGGTGTTTAGGTAGGGTTTAGTGCGCTTGTTGAGGACGTGTAGGTTTTACAAAGGCCTTATGAGCGTTTTAGGGTTTAGGGTTGAATATAAGGGCCTTAATACCTACCTATACTATGATGGGGTTCCTTAGTGTATATGTAGTATAATGGGCCTCAAAACCCTATTCTAATTATTGAAGCCCCTATATTAGAGGTTCAGGGTTTGAGGGGTTCGGGTCGCCCGCGTCGGAAAACAAGTCTGATTCACCAAGCAGACAAAGGGATCGCATGTCATGTTCGTGGAGCATCCGTATCACAGTACCCTAAATCAAAGGGGAAAAGGAGGGACCCTTAATGGGGACCCCTACCCTATAATGGGCTATATTATGGGTATATAATAGCTATATTGAGGGTATATCCCTTGGGGTCCTTTGTAAGGGTCCCTCCTTTTACCCTTGGACTAAACCCTAAACCCTATCTCAGATTAAGTTGACCAAAGAGAAGCCAGGATTTCTCGAGTGGTTCCGCGATGTCTCCTCCGAAGACACCGTGCTTCTGCTCACCGACTGGCGGGAGGTGAAGCCCATCGTGCAGGGACTCGGAGGCAGCTACCTAGGTTCCTTTAAAGGGCTCCTTTTAAGGGATCTATATAGGGGTTCTATAAGGGGTAGTTTAGGCACTTAAAGGATCATGGGACATAGCAAGTAGGTTATAATTGGGGTTATAAGTCCCGTAAGTGGGGTTATCCGAACTATAACCTACTTATAACTACCTTACTTACTAAGTCCCATGAGCCTTTAAGTAGGGACCCCTTAGATACTAATGAGCATAGGGTTTGGGGGGTATATGATCGTATCATTCTAATGAAGAAAACCGAAACCCTATTCTAATTATCAAGGCCCCTACATTACCATTACTATGTGTGCCTTAATTAATGATAATGACAATATGTTCGGTGTACATTAAAGTCTACGTTGAAAACAAGCGGCTAGTGATATCATTACCTGCCAGCTTTTCGTCTTGTATCTTATTTGGCACAGTTTCTAGCCATTTACATCCAAGCACAATAACCGCTGAATCCTAAGCCCTACGCCCTAATAGGCCTTGCGAAACCAGAAGCCCTAAACCTAAACCTTAACAGCTAAACCCCACACTCTACACCCCCGCAAATTGAACCTCGAATCCCCAAGCTTTGCTGAACCTCGAATCCCCAAACCCCCTAACCCCAATCCCCTAATTCCAAACCCTGAACCTCAGAACTCTTGGTTCGGCTCCTCCAACCATGGAATTTCGGATGTTTATGCAGACGGAAAAGAGCCCATAAAAAAAAAAACGAACTCTTGAACCCTAAACCTTGAAGCCCCAAGCTTTGCTGGCAGGACAGGGACAGGGATGTCCCCACCTCCGGCTTTGCATCCTCGCACAATCCTTCACAGCCTACCGCAGCGCCGTGAAGTGGGTGAACTCGCAGACAGGTCGTACCTGGGCTTCTGTTGAACTGTCTGGTTTAGGGTTCAGGGTTTAGGGTTTAGGGGATAATGGGTTATTGGGACTACTGTTGGAGATTATATAGGGACTACTGTATCCATTCCCCCATCCCCAACTAAAAGCCAGACAGTTGTTGTGGGTTTACCCTCAAAAAAACTCTGTAAGATTTACTGTAACCCTAAGGGTCCAAGTACCCAAATAGTAGGGTTTCAAGGTCCAAAAACCATTCAGAGTTTGGATTTTGGGCCCTAAAACCCTACTATTTGGGTACTGAACCCTAAACCCTAAACCATAAACCCTAAACCCTAAACCCTAAACCAGAGGGATCCTAAGTCCCGAGCTGCTAAACCTTGAATCTCCATGAAGCCGTTAAGCCCACTGGGAGGGTCATGCGACTTAACTAGTAAGGTAAAAGCCAGAAAGTTGGAATATGATTATCCTAACCCTTCTATGGTAAATTATAGGGTATCCTACCATGAAACCATATTCCAACTTTCTGGAGCTCCCTGTAAGGTTATACGTGCCTTGATTGAGTTGTAAGTATAACTAATACTACGGCTATAAGGAATTATGAGTGCAGATACCCTAGCAGTAGCCCTCGTTACTAAGTCCCATGCGCCTTTAACCCAGAGACTCCAATATCCCTTAGTTAAGGAATATACCTTAACTCATATTAGGGATCCTATTATCATTCAAGGTATATTCCTTAATTAAGGGATCTTCGAGTCTTTGGGAAGCGCACTCCCCAGAAATTGAACACCGTCAACCCGGAGCCGGACCAACCCTCAGTCCCCCAGCAGCTGCTGTGGGCCTGAAAATCCTGGACTGCGGGCCCTAAACCTAGAGCCCGAAACGCCGGTCCTAAACTCAAAAAACTGTCTGGTTCTCAGTAGGGGATGCGGGAATGCATATAGTAGTCCCTATATAATCTTCAACAGTAGTCACAATCACCCATTCCCCCATTCCCTACTAAGATCTCAGGTGCATTTCAGTGTTTCATCGTCCCTGGGCTTTCGAACGGGTTTAGGCTTTCGGGGCTTAGGAGTTATGGATTTAGGGTTTAGGGGTTGAGGGTTATCAGTTATAAGGTTTGAGGGGTTGGGGGTCGGGGTTCGGGAACACTTGATACCCTAAACCCTAAACCGTACTTAAAGGATCATGGGACTTAGTAAGTAGGTTATAATTGGGGTTATAAGTCCCCTAAGTGGGGTTATCCTAATTATAACCTACTTATAACCTTACTTACTAAGTCCCATGAGCCTTTAAGTAAGCTTGACGCCCCAAGGCCCTGTGCTTCAAAGCCCTGAAGGGAGTTTGCGAAGCTGGCTTCCACGGGGGGAAAGCCGGCCTTCCATGGGCGAGGGTCTCAACTATGAGTACGGTTGATGATATAAATCCTGCATTACCTTAAGGACCCTTAAACTATATGGGAGTTTTGGTGTACTCCTTATTATGGGTAATACAGGATTTATACCATCAACCGTGTGACATATATTCTGCTAGGATCCCTAATATGATTTAAGGCATATTCCTTCATAAAGGGTTCTGTAAGGAGTGGGTCCTTGTCTTCTCTGGGCCAAGGAGAAATGCCGGTCTTCCATGGGTTTACCTATGAGTCCGTCCTGCAAGTGACGTTAGACCATATGGCCGAAGCTGCGGCGACTATTGGTTACTCGCATCAGGCGCAGGAGGCCTATCCTGTTCAGTGGTGCACTTTTTTACTTTCAGGTTTCTGGATTCCTATTATTAAAGAAAAGCAAAGAAAATATACTTTTCCCAGTGGGTTACTGAACAGCCTAGAGGCCGTGCCGAGGATAGAAGCCTAAGTCAAATATGTAATTACCAACCGCATGCCTTAAGGGTTCCTTATTAGTTACAGATATATGTTAGAGAGCCCGGTGCCTTAATTCAAACTATTACTGGGCTTTGAAGTACCATGCTTTAATACTTTTTGGGGGACCTGTTACTTAAAGGGAGCCATTGTGAAATAAAAGTCTATACTTTTTCCTCCCTGGTTACTTCAAAGCCCAGATTAAGACCCCTACATTTAACAGTTAACAGTTTACAACTTTTCGGTAGGAGCCCAAAGTGAGGGGCCCTAAGGGATAGAATCCGGTTTTTTTTTTTTTGGGGGGGGGGGGGTACACGACACTTCGTACGGTTGATGATATAAATCCTGCATTGCCGTAAGGACCCTAAACTATGTGAATTATTGCACATTCCTTCTTGTGGGTAATGCAGGGCTTATCAACCGTGTTTGAAGGATCCCTTAAACTTTGGATCAAGAAGGAGCCCGAAGGAATACCATGAGTAGTGCACCCTCAGCCCTATAAGCCCCGAAGCCCTACTTAAAGGCCCATGGGACTTAGTAAGTAAGGCAGGTTATAAGTAGGTCATAATTAGGATAACCCCACTTAGGGGACTTATAACGCCAACTAGAACCTACTTACTAAGTCCCATGATCCTTTAAGTAGGGCTTTGGGAATGAGGATTTCGGTTCGCCCCCTTTCAGCCTGAAGCCCTAAACCCTGAACCCTAAACCGTCCACCAGGTTTAGGAAGCTTTGGGCCGTCTGGGGTGTTGGGTTTTGGCGCGAGGGCTTCGGGCTGAAAGGGGGCAAGCCGAAATCCTAAGTCTCAAAGAAGTAGAGCCCTAATCCTATAACGAATCCCAGAAAGTTGGAACATGGGTTTAGGAGGATTAGTGCTAGGATCCCTTATGCTTTACCTTCATTAAGGGCATCAGGATAATGATATTCCATTTTTCTGGCTTGGACAATAGACCCGGAAACCCCTAAACCCGAAAACTCAAGCGAAAACCCTACAGCGTCCATCCTTGAGTGTTGGCAACGCTCCCCCCAAATTTCGTGCCTTTGAGCCCAAGTCCAGTACCAATACGGCACCTAATATTTAGGGTACCCAAAAGGGACCCTAAACCCTAAACCCTAAACCCTAAACCCTAAACCCTAAACCCTAAACCCTAAACCGCCATAATTTTGACAACCACCCAGATGCCTTCAGGGACCCGCTTTTCCAAGCCAGTCTGTGCACCAGGGGCTTTTCGGGCCCAGGGTTGATGATATAAATCCTATAAGGGTACCTTTAAGGGGCTCCTTTAAGGGATCTATAGGGTTTAGTGTTTAAGGTTATGATATAAATCCTGAATTACCTTCAGGGCCCTAAACTATGGGAATTATGGTATATTCCTTATTGTGGGTAATGCAGGATTTATATCGTCAACCGAAGGACTATACCTGTGGAAGGTTTTGGTCAATTTTGAGCCTCAGGGGGTTAAAGCTCTGCGCCTTCGGTCCAGCGTTTGTTCGGCAAGTTCATTGAATTGAAGGGTTTGGGGTTTAGGGTTGAGGGTTGAGGGTTTAGGACTATATATGTATATGTATGTATTTATTTATATATATATATATGTGTATTTATATTTTTACATAGATAGAGACACACACACACACACATTTTTCTTATCGTTCTATGCATCCTACCACTATTTTGGGTTTATTGCAACATTCCTTGATTTTAGGTATTGGAAGGTTTGGGGTGCTTCTGTCAACCCGGAGCGTGCAAAATCCGCAGGCTGAGGAGCCACCGTCGCAACTCGAAGGGCGACTGGGTGGCAAGTTATAGGAGCCCAAAAAAAGGACATAGCATAAGCATTTTATAGGGATATCCCTACCTTATTGGGCTTCGTTATAAGGTTTTTTATGGGATATCCCTATGCTGATTTTTGCTTATGTGCTTTTGGGGGGCCCTAATTTAGAAGAATGGTTGGTTTTGGCAGCTACGGACCCTGTTTGCAAACATTTTGATCGTAAGCCCTGAACCCGGCACAAACCCTCAAACCCTCATTCCCTCAAACTCTCAACCCCCGAACCCTCCCACCCTGCAAACCCTCAAACCCTTCCAACCCTCAACGCCTCAAACCCTCAACCCTTGAAGTACCATTCCATACTTGGAGGCCCTTTTGACTTAGTAAGTCTACTTAGTATCCCCTACAAACGCTATTAGCAACCCCATAACCCACCTTACTAACCCTACTTACTAAGTCAAAAGGGCCTCCAAGTACCCCGAGGAACCTCCCCACCTAACCCCTCAACCATGAGACTGAAAACCCGCGAGCTTCCCTGCCACCCCGGGAGACTTGGAGTTAGGGTTTAGGGTTCACGGTTTAGGGTTTGGGTTCTATAGGGGTTACTATAAGGGTTTAGTATAGGGGCCAAAAAAATTAGAACAGGGTTTTGGTTTTAGTATATTCGTACAATATACCCCCAAACCTTATTCTAATTATTAAGGCCTGTATATTATGAGCCTCGGTTAAGGGTTTAGGGGAATCTTCCTTGGTCAAGTCGGGGCCTGACTGGTTGCAGCTGTTATTCGGTACTGTAGGGTTCTTCGATATAGGTGCAAATACTACACTCTACCTCCAAACCTTACCTGAAGGATCATGGGACTTAGAAGAATTTCGCAAAATATCAATGTATTGTACTACCAGCCTGACTTGCAAAGTCCCATGATCCCCCAAGTAGACTCTTAACCCGTCTTAACCCTACTTAAACCTATAGATCCTAAACCCTAAGCCCTAAAAAATAAAATAACAAAAACGCTATCGATCACTTCTTCGAGTTATGCCCTCTCTATTTGAGGAAAAGATGAGAGATTGCCATGGCTATTCTCCTGGGCTTTGGAGTACCATACCTTAATACTTTTTTTGGACCTGGTACTTAAATCGAACCAATTATGAAATAAAAATCTATACTTTTTTTCCCCCGGTTACTTCAAAGTCCAGGCTTAGGGTGCTGGGAGGATCATGGGACTTAGCAAGTAAAGTTATAAGTGTCTGACATGGGGTTGGAAGCAATTGCAAGTCTAGTTACCCTAATAATAGCCCTAGTTACTAAGTCCCATGATCGTTTAGCTGGTCTTGTTTACAGGTTGTTTTGGGAGTTCTGCTCGCTGGTAACGGGGTTTCAAAGCAAACTCACAGAAGCTCCTCCCACTGTTCTAAACAAAGACCCCTACGACTGTTGATGATATAAATCCTGCATTAACCGAGGGACCCTAAACTATGGGAACTATGGTATATTCCTTATTATGGGTAATGCAGGATTTACTAGGACCCAGAGTAGGCCCTTATGCCCTTTTTTAAGGTTTAGGGTTTCTTATAGCCCCATTTAACTCAAAAAGGGCACTCTTTTTATTCCTAGGTTACTCTTGGGTCTAGTTTATATCATCAACCGGAGGCCCCTTTTGAGTAACACTTCTTCAATTCTTTGCTGACACTCTGCGTGAACCCTAAACCCCCTACACCCAAGAACTCCGCACCCCACAGAACCCTAAACCGTGAACCACCTCTCCTCTCCCTTCGCAAAACAAACAGCAAGCACGTACATGTATGTATGTATGTATGCATGCATGCATGCATGCATGTATGTATGTATGTACGTATGCATGTGCGTATGTTTTTTTTATGTATACATATATATATATATATATGTTTATTTACCTATTTATTTTTATGTATGTATATATGTATATGTGTATGTATATCTGTCTGTCTGTCTGTCTGTCTGTCTGTCTGTCTGTCTGCTTGTCTATATGTCTGTCTGTCTGTCTATATGTCTGTCTATCTGTCTGTCTGTCTGTCTGTCTGTCTGTCTGTCTGTCTGTGCGTATGTATGCAGGTGTATGTGTGCCTCGGTGTATGTGTTTGTTAATATATGATGCATGTATGCATGCATATATGCATGTATGTATGTATTTATGTATGTATGTATGTATGTATGTATGTAATTATGTATGTATGTGTGTATGTTTGTATGTATTTCGCCGGTCTAGCCCTCAAAAAACTATGAACTTATAAACTTTATAGATGAACCTCAACACAGAGTGGCAAAGTCGACGGGGGCCTTACTTGGACAATCATGGGGTGTCGTATAGCAGGGCTCGGAAGTACCACCGTATTTAGGGCTATAAGTAATTACTATAAGCAACGTTAAAATATCTGTAACCGTAGTAACTAAGTCCCACGAACTAAGCCCTGAACGCTCACCCTAGCCGTAACACCCAAAGGTATATTCCTCTGCGATCTAGCTCCAGCTACCGTGACCTGACTGCGGAGCTTCAGCGGCAAATCAGCATGGTTTAGTGTTTAGGCTACTGGGCTGGGGAGTTTTAGGGTGTAGGGTTTAGGGTATTAAACTCCTAGGGTTTACGGGCTAGGGTATTTGGGCTGGGGATTTCCAGGGTTTGAGTTTTTAGGGGTTTGGGCATTCGGGACTTTGGGTGTATGCGATTTTCTTATTGGTCTTGGACGGTTTCGGGCTAAGGGTTAAGGATTCAAGATTACGGTGCAGAGAGAAGGCGTTGGGTGATGGAAGGGTTATGGTGAAGGGTCTACTTGGAAGGGCAGGGGACTTAGTAAGTCGTTTTTAAGTAGGGTTATAATTAGGGTAACTCCATTAAGGGTGCTTGTAACTCTACTTATAACCTACTTACTAAGTCCCCTGCCCCTCCAAGTAGGGTTGTACGTTTTCAACGGCTTAATGTGCTTCGTAGATGCTTCAATGTCAATATGGGACCCGAAGGCATTTTCCCAAAGCCCTAGCAATCACTTTCGGGTTTAGGGTTCCGAGAGCCTTGAACAACTTCGCAACATTGTCCCGTTACATAGTTGTAGTATTATGTTGTAGTATAATCGAAGCCGTTTTCTACTTATGAAGGCCCCTAGCCGCTAGACCCTATTCCTCAGTTTACCCAAAACCCTGACCAAATCGTAAACCTTTAATTGAAACCCTACCCCCTAAACCTGAACTGAACCATTCAACTCTACGCCCGAAGCCCTAATCCCTAAACTAAGCCCTTGAACTCAACCCAACACCCTAAACCCTGAACCCTAAACTGACAACTACACCCTGAACTCTAGGCCCCAGACACTAACCTGTACCCTGCACCCTAAACCCTAAATGAAAATCTACACCCTAAACCCTAAACTCAACCCGACACGCTAAACCCTGAACCCTAAACCCGGGTCTGCGAGCTGGAAAAGAGGCGCTTAACAAAAGAAAAACCGGGGAAGGCACAACATCCTCAGCCTGCGCCTCGGTCCCGCACCGTGGGCTTCGTTCCGCTACCTGAAACTGGGCTCTTGTTAAGGAGTTTTTCCTAGTAGGGATCTATTAGGGCTCCTTTAAGGGATCTATGAGGGCTCCTTCAGGGGTTTAGGGTTCAAGGAATTTAAGTTGCCATAGTAAGGCCAATAGTACGGTTGCCTTACTGTGGCAACTTAAATCAAATCCCTTAACAAGAACCCAGGAAAGTCTGGCAGATCCGGACGTGCGGGCAGCGCCTGTGGTTCAAGCCAGCAAGCAAGTTATGTTGTGTTTTGATAGATATACGTGTGTGTGAGAGAGAGAGAGAGAGAGAGAGTGTGTGTGTGTGTGTGTGTGCGTGTGCGTCTGTCTGTCTGTCTGTCTGCCTGTCTGCCTGGCTGTCTGTCTGTCTGTCTGTCTGTCTGTGCGTGCGTGCGTGCGTGCGTGCGTGCGTGCGTGCACCTCTCTCTCTGTGTGTGTGTGTGTGTGTGTATATACGTGTATATGTGTGTATGTATGTATATAGCTGTATGCACATACCTGTATATATATATATATATATAGATAGAGATGCATGTGCGCTCCCACGTACATACATACATGCATTTATTCATACATGCATACATACACATACATATACGCATACAAATACACATATGTTAACATCTTTACATATATTTATATACATATGTATATACACTTACAGATACATGTGTCTATAGTTCTTCTGTTTGTATTTATATATATATATATATGTATGGGGTCCATTGGGGTGACTCCAGTGCTACCTAGGGGCTTAGTCTTACGGGCTTGGTCTTTGTGTACTGCGGCTGTTTTCAGGCCCTGCGGGTGTGTTCTGTGATCCAAGTTTGGTTTTGGACTGCAGCTCATGCCGTAGGTGGGAATGTCATCACGGTCTACAGCGTAAGAGGCGTTTGTTAAACGGACCAGGGGCCTCAGCCGTAAACCCTCCACCGCCAAACATTCGTTGTTGTTCATTTAGACGAGAACTGGATCAAGGCCCTTGCCGCCAGATTGGACGAGGTGGGAGTTGCGAAAACACGGGACTCTCCATATGGAACATACTTGGAGGGGCAGAGGACTTAGTAAGTAGGTTATAATTAGAGTTATAAGCACCTTGAATGGAGTTACCCCACTTATAACCCTACTTATAAGCGATTACTAAGTCCCTTGCCCCTCCAAGTAGACCCCAATTGCTCAAAGGTTCCACACCCCGTTAATGCAGGTGTTTGTCGTAAATCATAGAGGCTTGGATAGTGAGCGCGGAAACTTTAAACTTTTTGGCTTTATATGTTAGGTCTATCTTTGAACTTTTTGGGGCGCGGTTGCTGAAGAAGAGAGGAGGGATCCACAGTAAGGCTTTCGGGTATAATCCTTAGTTAAACGGTGCTTTGGTAATCGGCTGCCTTGTACAAACAAGGCACTTGAAGTTATCCTGGATCCGCAGGTGATGCAGCAGAGCCAATGGGTGGTGTATGAAGACTGACTTGGCCCTGTGCGTGACATTTCAGTCCCCTAGGGATCAAAATAGCCCACAAGCCTTGTATAGTATGGTCTTTGAGTCCTGAGATCCCTAAGGATCAACATAGCCCAAAAGCCTTATATAGTATGGTCTTTGAGTCCTTAGATCCCTAGGGGTGGAGTTCTGACCTGCTGAATGATCTTTTGCTTTCAGCTTCCTTTGAAAGGGAGGCTCGGACTTGTTTCCGTTGGCTGTTCCCCCCCGTGGAGGTAACGGTCCGGCGTACCAATATCCTCCACGAACTGAAGATCTGGGCTGTGAAGTACCATACTTTAATACTTTTGGGGGACCTGTTACTTAAAGGGAACCATTGTGAAATAAAAGTCTATACTTTTTCCTCCCTGGTTACCTGGTTACCTCAAAGCCCAGAGATTTAAGGCAGCCGGACGTGAAAGTCCGGACAAGGGCTGTGGAGGTTCTCTGAATTGGGTTCCCTCCGAGGTATTTTTTTGGAGTGTGTTGTATGGTTTAGGGCAGCCTAAACCCTGAACACATAACCCGAACATCCTTAGTTAATCCGTTTTCAAATCTGAATTCCCAGGGCGATGATGAACCTACCCGGATGCAGGATGTTCGGTGCTTGTGTCCTGCCATGGTCTTTTCCAAAAGCCGCTGTTTGGGGTGCTTCTCCTTCGATATCTAGGCCTCCCTTCCCTTCTTGTAGTCCCAGGTCCCTTATACAGTTACCCAATACCAAAAAGGGAGCCCTTGTTATTCCTAGGTTACTGGGCATCCTAGATATGTTAAGCTTTGGGCAATGATCTCGAGGTTTAGGGTTTAGGGTGCTGTAGGAACCTGATTAGCCTGTAACCACCAAAATAGCAGGATTCCTAGAACACCAATAAAGGCCCAAGGTTTCTTAATCAGGTTCCTCATCAAACCCCCCAAAACCCTTATAGTACCCTTATAGTGCCCTTTAAAGGGACCCTTCCAGATCGGTTGTAATCTCAGCCCCAAAACCTACGGAAGCTGAACGCTGCTGTGCTATATGGTTTAGGGTTTACGGTTTGGGGGTTTAGGGGTTTAGGGTTTAGGGGTTTGGGGTTCAGGATTAGGGGTTTCGGGTTTAGGGTTGGGCATCTGCAAGTTAGGTCGCTGTGCAGCATAGAGAGTAATGTATGCGGTCTAAGTCTCAGGAAGGTTCCTGTATAACGACCTTAACCTACCAAAACCTACTTTGCGCAGGGTCCCTACATTTTCCATATTATGGTTTATAATAAGGACCTACAAAATAGTAGGGTTTGGTAGTTTAAGGTAACTATACAACATCCTCCAAACCCTTTTCTGATCGTTACGGCCGCTTTGTACACAAAAGCTTGAAATCCCATTCTGCAGATGAATTGTCAAGGCCTGTATTTTCAGCTTCCTAAAGCCCTATGATATTGAAACGAAAGTCTATCGTCTGTACTGCGATTCCTCAGCCCAGACATATGGTAAACCCTCTACCCCTACAAGATATCCCCTACTTAACGGATCATGGGACTTAGTAACTGGGGCTATAGATAAGGTAACTATACTTATAATTACTTATAACCCCAATTACAGTACTTATAACCTTACTTTCTAAGTCCCATGATCCTCCAAGTAAGCTTCCCTAAACCCTAAACCCAAAACCCTAAACCCTAGAACCCTTAAAGGGACCCTAAACCCTAAACCTAGAACCCTTAAAGGAACCCTAAACCCCAAAACCCCGATAGATCAGAACTCTTAAAGCAACCCCAAACCCCTAAACGACTACTTGGCTTCTGCGGCGCGTCCCAAACCGGCTTCCAGACTTTTCAACGCTTTCCAACGCCAAGGCGCAACCGGTCCCAAGGCTCTTTAGGGGTTTAGGGTTTAAGGGTTTAGGGTTTAGGGTTTAAGGGTTTAGGGGTTTAAGGGTTTAGGGTTTAGGGTTTAGGGGTTTAGGGTTTAGGGTTTAGGGTTTAAGGATTTAGGGTTTAAGGGTTTAGGGTTTAAGGGTTTAGGGTTTAAGGGTTTCGGGTTCAAGGGTTTAGGGTATGGGCTTTGCAAGAACCCAGAGACTCCAATATCCCTTAATTAAGGAATATACTATAGTAGGATCCCTAATATGATTTAAGGAATATTCCTTAATTAAGGGATTTTGGAGTTTCTGGGTATTGGCTTTGCAAGAGAAGCCCCTAATACAAGGGCCTAGATAGCTACCAATACTGTATTGGGTGTTCCTTCTTATGCTTATAGTATTGGGGTACCGTATTTTTTTTGTCAATGTTTTTGGTTTTTTCTGTCTATTATAGTATTGTGTGGCCCAAAATCTTATTCCACTTCTGAAGGCCCCTATACTATCACCCCCATAGTACCCCTTTTGGTAATCCCTATAGGCCGCTTTCGAAGGAACCCCATTCTAATTATGGAGTCCCCTGTATTAAACCCTAAAGCCTGAACCTCGAGCTCGATGCTTAGCATGTAGCGTGCATGGCAGTAAGGCAAAAGCCAGAAAGTTGGAATATGACTATCCTACTTGGAGGCCCTTTTGACTTAGTAAGTAGGGTTAGTAAGGTGGGTTATGGGGTTTCTAATAGGGTTTCTAGGGGATACTAAGTAGACTTACTAAGTCAAAAGGGCCACCAAGTAACCCTTCTATGGTAAATTATAGGGTATCCGACCATGAAACCATATTCCAACTTTCTGGAGTTCCCTGTAAGTCTCAAAGGGGAAAAGGAGGGACCCTTCATGGGGACCCCTGTCCTATAATGGGCTTTATGATGGGTATATAATAGCTATATTAAGGGTATATACCTAGGGGTCCCTATACAGGGTCCCTCCTTTTACCCTTGGAAAGTCGATGTTGGATCCCTCAACCCTAAACCCTAAACGCCGAGAGTCTTCTAACCTTGAAGTTGCGCTTATCCCGACTAATCGTTAACCTTACTAGCTAGATTTGGGCCTGCTTCGGGTTTAGGGTTTAGGGTTCAGGGGTTTTAGTCCGTCTTAGGGGTGCATAGTCTAGCAGAATTGCTCTGGAGACTTTGCGCAATGTAGAAGCCTTACTAGTTAAACTATAGGTCTGGTGCATGTTATAGTAGTTGTACTTCCCTAGGGATCAAAACAGTCCAAAAGCCTTATATAGTGTGGTCTTCGGGCCCAAAAGCCTTAATATATGAGTCCTTAGAGCCCTAGGGCTTGTTTAGGGTGACCATCGAATATTCCTACCGGTGATTCTGCAACTGTAGTGCAGTTTTTGGCTTTGGAAACTCCAAACCCTTATACCCTAAACCCTCAGCCCTAAACCCTAGACCGCTCATGTTTTTAAGTGAGTTGAGCCTTGAGATTTGCAATGCGAATTCATTGCTTGGGAGTTTGTCTCGCAATTTCGACTGCTGGGTCCTGGTGTCGGGCTAACTTAGGACCTGGATAATTGCCCTAGAGTTGCGGGGTTTAGGGTTTCAGGACTCTTGCGATCTGAAGAGACTCCCCTTTCACGTGTAGTCGCATGCGGTGTTGGGCCTTGTTGCTGCGAGAGAGTGGCAACTTGTCGACACATCCTTGCGAAGCGATGGTGCAAGATCCGGACGTGTCGCTTTCTCAGCAAAGCATAGCAGAGATACGGAACTTTAGCATGACGAGACAATCATCTAGGGCCACATTGCGTTCTGGATACTTCAGGACTTCAGAACAGCTAACGGTCAGCTGTGCGCCAGTCTAGAAAGGACACCGTACAGCTCTGAGCGGTTAGCGGTTGCAGCCCCAAACTTAAAGCCTAAATCGCAATGCATGCAGGTCTACCATATTATGAACAGGTATACAGCACATGTGTGAGTGTGTCTGTGTATATGTGCTTGCAGATGTGCGTTTACATGTTCAGGGTTAGGTATATGTGTATGTATTTGTATGTGTGTATGCATATTTGTATGTGTATACATGTGTGTATATATGTATACACACATGTATACCTATATATGTGTATATTATATGTACATATGTATGTATTTGTCTGTTTTGCAGATGTATATGTACATGTATATGTATATGTATATGTATATGTATATGTATATGTATATGTATATGGATATGGATATGGATATGGATATGTATATGTATATGTATGTGTATGTGCATGTGTATGTGTATCTGTATATGTATATGAATATGTATGTGTATATGTATATGTATATGTACATGTACATGTATATGTATATGTATATGTATATGTATATGTATATGTATATGTATATGTATATGTATATGTACATGTACATGTACATGTACATGTACATGTATATGTATATGGATATGGATATGTATATGTATATGTATATGTATGTGTATGTGTATGTGTATGTGCATGTGTATGTGTATGTGTATGTGTATGTGTATGTGTATATGTATATGTATATGTATATGTATATGTACATGTATATGTATTTGTATATGTCTACGTATGTGCATGTATATTTGTATGAGTATGAATATGTACGTGTACATGTAACTGCATGTGTTTATGTATATGTATTTGTATATGCACATGTACGTGTCCATGTGCACGTAGCTCTGTGTGTATATGCACATGTACGTGTCAATGTGCAGGTAGCTCTACATGTATGTGTACGTGTACGTGTATGTGCATGTGCATGTGCATATGTGTTTGTGTATATGTGTATGTGTGCATATGTACACACATATGCATGTACACACTTATACACATTCGTATATACGTACATACATACATAAATACATACCTGCATACCTGCATACCTACCTAGATACATACATACACTTACATGCATACATACATAGACAGGCAGAGTATACGAACATGAACAAACAAATGTGTACATACATTTAGCTAATTATAGTCCTGACAGTGTTACATGTAGTATGTACTATATGGCCCTAAGCCGAACCCAGAGGTCTCACAAAAATCCTCAGCACCTAGGCAGGGCCAGTCACAGTCGAGCCGGAGACCCCTTAATGAGCTCCAGCATGGGTTTTGGGTTTACGGC